GGAGAAGGCCAAGCAGCTACGGGCGCCTGGAAGGGAGCGGCGGGCGTCGAGCGTTAACGCCAAGTCGACGGCACGGAGCGTAGGGAAGAGCACCACCGCCGTATCGACCGCGAGCCGCGCCAACCAGCCGAAGAAGGAACCTACGCGGCGGGAGGACCTGGCCGTCACGGTGGACGGGATCCGCGTCATTGTGATCGGCGATGTGCACGAACTGCCGATCCTCGACCTTGGAATCAAGTCGTTCGCTGCCACCGCTGAGGACTGGTCCTCCAACCTCAGGGCGCAGACGGCGATAGACATGTACACCAACGTCTTCAACTTCTCCAAGTCCGCATGGGAGCCCCTGATTGAGCCGTGGCACGTGGGCCTCAGGGTGAGCCGCTCGGGGTCGGAGCCTCTCTCCATCGAGATGGTCTCCAAGAAGACGCTCGACCTCACCCTCACGACGGCCACGATCGCGCTCGCGTCGAAGTCGATGGCGTTCCTGACGCGCGACCAGGATGTCCTCGGAAAGCCGAGGGGGGTGGAATCGCCGTACCGCATCAGGAACTACACCGGGTTCGAGGTGCACGTGGAGGCGCCGCGGCGGGGGGACGAGGAGCCCATCTCAGCGCGGCTAGAGGACGGGGAGGAGGTTCCGTGGAGCTTCGAGTCGTGGGAGAAGATGCGCGAGACGCTCGCCTTCGACAGCAGCTCCAACACGGTGGAGGTGCGCCTCGAGGGGAGCGGGTTTGACCCCGTGAAGAGCATCCGGCTCAACCGCGAGGGGGAGTTCCCGTACGTGCTGCGGGTGCAGGGGAAGAGCACGGTGCACCGCGTGCTCGTGGAGGTGGACCTGGGCGCGGACGACAACGTGAAGTACGTGACGCTGCGGTCGCCGCTACTGGTGGAGAATAACACGCAGATTCCCGTGGAGCTGGGGATCTACGACCAGGACAAGGGGGACCTCCTGAAGATTGAGAAGATCGCTCCCGGGGAGAGCAGACCTGCTCCCGTGGGGGCGGTGTACGTGAAGAGCCTGCTGCTGAGGCCAGACTCCGGGTTCGGGTACGCGTGGTCCTCGGAGGCGCTGTGGTGGAGGGATCTGGTGAAGAGGAGGACGAGGACGCTGGTGTGTAAGGGGGAGAACGGGGATCCGTTTTACTTCCAGATTTATGCCTCGTTCGACAAGTCGAACCCTAATATTAAGTGAGTCTACACCCCCCCTTTCCTCCCATCCCCGAAAAGACGCGTCTAGGTTCCCTGAAGTGGCTGTGGAGTTACAAACGGGAAGAAGACAAAGGCAATGGCTAATTATTCTAGCAACTACCCATACATGAGGCTCAAGGTCTCCTCTCCGGTCGTCCTCGAGAATCTGCTCCCGTACGACTTCAAGTATCGCATCTACGACAAGAACACCAAGAAGGACTGGACGAACTTCCTGCGCAAGGGCGGCCTGAGCCCTGTGCATGTAGTAGAGCTGTCGCACCTTCTCCTCCTGAGCATCGACATGCAGGACACAGCCTTCAAGGCAAGTGACTTCGCTGTCATCAACTCGGGTAGCACGGTCGACTTTAAGAAAGAGGACAAGATCGTCTGCCGTGACGTGCACGGCCTGTCCCTAAATCTCGCTCTCCACTACCACCGCATCCCGGACAGCGGCGGCGCGTTCAAGGTCACCGTCTACAGCCCCTACGTGGTCCTGAACAAGACAGGTCTGGAGTTGGACATCCGCGTCAAGAGCTTCATGCAGGGAGCGAAGGCCGTGGCGGGACGAGCGCCCGCCCTAGAAGCAACGGACGGCGAGCGGCCCAAGGTGAAACCGTTCATGCTCTCCTTCGGGCACGAGGACCCGAAGAACCGTGCGCTGCTGAAGATTGGGAATTCGGAGTGGAGCAAACCGCAGAGTTTCGAGGCCATCGGGAGCACGTCGGAGGTGGTGCTGCCGTCGATGGGCAACAAGGGCACGGAGATTCACGTGGGGATCTCGGTGGAGGAGGGAGAGGGCAAGTATAAGATGACCAAGATCGTGGAGCTCACGCCGCGCTTCATCCTGCAGAACAAGCTCGGGGAGGACATACACGTGCGGGAGCCCAGCTCGTCCGGGTCCCTCGCGCTCCGGGCTGGAGGGCTGCAGCCGCTCCAGTTCATGCAGCGGTCCAAGGTGAAGCAGCTTTGCCTCTGCTTCCCCGGGCTGGACAACCAGTGGACGGCGCCGTTCAACATCTCTGACCTCGGCACGACGTACGTCAAAATTGCCAAGTCGGGTCAGCGACAGCAGCTCATCCGGGTAGAGATCCTGATGGAGAGGGCGACGATCTTCCTTAACCTCACGCTGGAGACGAAGCACTGGCCCTTCTCTATGCGCAACGAGAGCGACACGGAGTTCATCTTCTTCCAGGCGAACCCGAACGTCGACGAGGACGGGGCCGAGGACCGGTCCGGGTGGAAGCCGATCAGGTATCGACTGCCGCCCAGGAGCATCATGCCATACGCGTGGGACTTCCCGGCGGCGCGGTTCCGGGAGGTTGTGATCAGCGCGTCGAACCGCGAGAGGCACGTCAAGCTAGCGGAGATCGGCAACCAGATCCCGATGAAGTTCACGACGCCGTCGGGCCAGCAGAAGATCATCGACATCAACATCGCGGCGGACGGGCCGACGCAGACGATGATTGTGTCGAACTTTAAGCAGTCGAAGAGCCTGTACAGGCAGAAGAAGGGGGGCAAGTCGTCGGCGGCGAGCTCGGGCAGCGGCAACGGCGGTGGGAACGGCAGCGCAGCGGGGGCCGGGTTCGAGGTCAAGGATCTCAACATCGGCACCACGTTCACGGCGCACCTGGGGCTCTCCGGGATCGGCGTGTCGCTCATCAACACGCAGCTGAGGGAGCTCGCGTACATCACGTTCCGCGGAGTGGAGCTGAAGTACAGCGAGTCGCCGCTGTACCAGACGGTCAGCCTGGCGGTCAAGTGGATCCAGGTCGACAACCAGCTCTACGGTGGACTCTTCCCGATCGTGCTGTACCCGGCGGTGGTGCCGAAGAAAGCGCAGGAGATCGACGCGCACCCGTCGGTGCACGCGATGGTGACGCGGGTCAAGGACGACTCGTTCGGGGTGCTGTACATCAAGTACGCGACGCTACTAATACAGGAGATGACGGTGGAGTTGGATGAGGACTTTGTGTTCGCGCTGATGGACTTCACGAACGTTCCGGGGGCGTCGTGGACGAGGAGCGAGGGTGAGGACGGCGATCTGTGCGACGAGGTGCTCGGGATCCCGGAGCCGAAGGAGCAGCACTCGGGGCAGGACACGTACTTTGAGCTGCTGAACATCCAGCCGATGCAGCTGGACATCTCGTTCATGCGGACGGAGCGGGTGAACGCGGAGGACAAGCGGTCGTCGAAGAACCCGCTGATGTTCTTCCTCAACATCATGACGATGGCCATGGGCAACGTGAACGACGCCCCCGTGCGGTTCAATGCGCTGATGCTGGAGAACGTGAGGGTGTCGACGCCGGTGCTAGTGCAGAACATCGCGAACCACTACAGCCAGGAGGCGCTGTACCAGATCCATAAGATCCTGGGGTCAGCGGACTTCCTGGGCAACCCGGTGGGGCTGTTCAACAACATCAGCTCCGGGCTAACGGACATCTTCTACGAGCCGTACCAGGGGCTGATCCTGAGCGACAAGCCGGAGGACTTTGGTATGGGGATCGCGCGCGGGGCGGCGAGCTTCGCGAAGAAGTCCGTGTACGGGTTCAGCGACTCGTTCTCCAAGTTCACGGGGAGCCTGTCGAAGGGGCTGGCGGCGGCGACGCTGGACAAGCAGTTCCAGGACCGGCGGCGGATCACGCGGTCGCGGAACCGGCCGAAGCACGCGCTGTACGGGGTGACGACGGGGGCGAATTCGTTCATCACGAGCGTGGCGAGCGGGGTGGGGGGCCTGGCGCGGAAGCCGCTAGAGGGGGCGGAGCAGGAGGGGGCGCTGGGCTTCTTCAAGGGCGTGGGGAAGGGGGTGCTGGGGCTCGCGACGAAGCCTGCGATCGGGGTGCTGGACATGGCGAGCAACGTATCGGAGGGGATTCGGAACACGACAACGGTGTTCGACGGGAGCGAGCTGGACCGGGTGCGGCTGGCGCGGTTCGTGGCGTCGGACGGGATCGTGAGGCCGTACAGCCAGCGGGAGGCGCTGGGCCAGTCGTGGCTGAAGCAGGTGGACAACGGCAAGTACTTCGAGGAGTCGTACCTCGCGCACCTGGAGCTGCCGAGGGAGGACATGGTGGTGATGGTGACGTACTCGCGGATCCTGATGATACGGAGCCGGAGGCTGGCGAGCGAGTGGGACGTGCCGCTGAGCGACGTGCAGACGATCGCGAAGGAGAGGACGGGGCTGAGCCTCGTGCTGAGGGGCGGAGTGAACGGGCCTTTCGTCCCCGTCGGGGACGAGGACGGGCGGAGGTTCCTGTATGGGCGGGTCGGGGTCGCTGTTGAGGAGTTTAATAGGCGGTTTAGGAGCCAGTAGAGGGGAGGTACTGGGGACTGGGGGTTGTGGGCTTGACGGTGGGGCCTTATAGACGATGAGTGGAAGGGGTGTGGTGATGGGATGATGAAAACACACGATGGGGATGGGAGGAGTTTTGGCTGGGGGCTGATGTCTTTTTTGTCTCTCTTGATTATATTTACGTTTATGTTTATAGGTAGAAATCGGACATTCTGATAGTCTTAAAGCATTTTGATGGTCTTGATATTTTCCTCTCTCCTCTTCGTCTCTTCTTCTTTCATCCCTGCCTCGTCTTCATCCTTTTTCACCAGGTCTCTTTCTTCCCGTCGACGTCAGCGAAGATATCTGGCAGAGGCCAGGTTCACACCCTCGCAAGCGAAACTTGAGTCTTTACATCTAACAGCGGTACTAGTAGTCAGCTCGGCTCCAGTTCTTCTCACCATGAGGATGATGGGTGAAGCCAAGGAAAAAAAAAAAAAAAAAAAAACAAAAGAAGTCGAAATATCAAAGACGGGAAAAATGATGCACTAGCCCGGAATTGAACCGGGGGCTGGTCGAAATCAAGAATATGGCAACGACCAAGTTTACCACTAACCCACTAGTGCTTCGATAGGAATTGATCCGCCGTTCTGGGACTTTGAATCTCGCCGGCCGGAATGGGGAACGGGGATGGGCCATGTGGAGCGGGAATGTCGAGGAGACGCCCGCGCGGGCCGGGCCGGGGCGTGTGCTTCGGAGGGATGGATGTAAGTGGAAGGGTACAGGTCGAGGTGTAGGTAGCATGCCCCTCCGCCCCCATCTTCCGCAGCCATAATAAGCAGGTGGTGGGACTGGGATATCGTGAGACTCAAGCGGGAATGGAAGGGTAAGACGCAGAAGAACACGGTCGCGCATGTGGACGGAAAGACTACGGTAGTACTCAGACCTATCAGGGAGAACCACCTCCTCAAGCCCCACGAGATGTTGAAGATGAGGACGATCCCCAGAGTTGGCCCACCGCAGTGACACGCCTCAGCCGGGTGCGGAGGGAATCGCCGCAGTCTCTTACTCACCGGCTCTCCTCTTGCCTTGCTAACAGCGAACAGCAGCGAAAGAAGGGACTGCTCCTCTCCTTCTCTACCTTTCCGTCCTGTAGACTGGGCTACGAGTAGACCCCAACCGGGCCAATACAGAGCGGATTTGATCACCTAATGGCCGGGGTTACTTACGAGTTCACCCACCGCTCTACCACGGTGCTCAGAGGAGTAGAGAAAAAAGTGTCGTTACATTGCACGTGGCAGGCGGCCACCCGAGGCTCAAGCGAGGAGTGATAGGTAGGTAGCGACGCAGCCGGACACCGACATTCGGGGCACACCTCACGCTTCACACCTCACACCTCACATCTCGCATCTCATATCTACCCCTACCTCCCCTCAAGAATGTTCACCGGGGCCTTCCCGCCCAGCCCTACCTGGGATGCCGAGACGGTACAGAAACGCTCGCGACGGCCAATCGGTTTCCCAACCGATTGAGAAAAACTAGAAACAGGGCGTGTGTGTACCCGGCGTCATTTCCCCAGTGACTCACTCGGCGTGATCCGACTCCAATTTGGCCGGGCCTCAGCGAGCGCGGGCCAATGGCGGGACGGAAACCCCCGGCCAGCCCTGCACGCACTTGCCCCCGGCCGGACGTCTTACTTACTTCGGAGCTTGGTAAAAGAGGTATTACAAATATGAGCGTGAATTAATAAGGCGGGATCGATAGCCCGCCCTTGAAATTTGAGTTATATAGCTAGTTTTGGTTTCTGGTTTCCTGGTTTCTGGGGAACGTCATCCCCTCGACGGACAAGCTACGCCGTCCAAACGTCTTGGTGGCCGCCACGATCGCATCGTAGCAACCGGTAGCTGGCTACATCGTCGACCCAAGCCGCCAATACATCTCCCCCCTAGCAAACAAGCAAGAGATACTACATTCCCCAGATCCCGAATCCCGGACCCCAAGCTCAAGATACAAAAACTAAACGACTTCTCCCTCCTAAGAAGCCGGAACCTGGAGGATGCTGCTCTCGTCCGACACGACCAGCCCGGCGACGGCCGCGCTCGTCAGGGTAGAGAACACGCCCGACACGAAGGCGCTGAAGGCCAGCTTGCTCACGTCGCCGCCGCGCGTGGGCGCAATCTGCGAGAGGATACCGATCTGGATACCGAGGGACCCGATGTTGCCGAAGCCGCAGATGGCGTAGGTCGCAATGAGGGTCGAGCGGGGGGAGAGGTCCGCGGCGGAGAGGTCGAGGAAGGCGGCGAACTCGTTCTAGATGGGACCGTCCATTGTCAGTAAGTTACCCTTCTTTTCTAGGGACGAGGAAGATCGGGACAACGGTGGGGGAGGGGTGACAGAAGATAGAGGGAGAATGGAGAGGAGGCAGGAGGAAGCCACGCACCTTGATAATCTTGGTCGCGATAATCTGGGCCACCTTGTAGAGGTCGCCAGTGCGCGGGACACCGAGCAGGAATGCCACGGGATAGCAGATGTACCCCATGATCAGCTCGAGCGACAGCGGCCGGCTGTTGATGTTAAGGTAGTGGCCCCACCACCCGAGTAGGCCGTCGATGAGCCCCACGGCGGCGATGATGCACAGCAGCGTCGCGACGATGGTTCCGGCGATCTTGATACCGAACCACGCGCCGTTGGCGAAGGCGTGCAGCGCGTTCTCGGCCTTCTCCTCCTGGTCCTCGGGGATCACGACCTTGCCGGCCGTGAGAGTCTCCTCCGTCTCAGGGTACCTGAGCTTTGAGATGGCGAGCGCGGCCGGGATGGACATGATGCACGACGACACGAGCGCCTGGGGGTTCAGGCCCATTCCCACATACGCGACGAGCGTCGACCCAGAGATGGTGGCGAAGCCGCATGTCATGATCTGGTGGAGCTCGGCCTTGGTCATGTGCGGCACGAAGGGGCGCACCAGCATGGCCGACTCGCCCTGGCCGATGAAGGGCGTGGCGGCGGCCACGACGGCCTCGGAGCCCGACACGCGGAGGAGCCAGAAGACAAAGGTGGCCATCTTGACGATGAACCACTGCAGGAACCCGATGTGGAAGAGCACCTGCACAAGCGAGATGAAGAACATGATGGCGGGGATGACGCTGAAGAAGAAGAATTGCTGGTTCGCGATTTCCTCCGTGGTCAGGAACTCCGTTCCCTTGCGTGCGAAGCTGAGCAGGTCGGCGGCGCGGTCGGCGATGAACTTGAAGATGTCGTACCCGACGCCCGTGCGCAGCACGAAGAGCGCGATGATGTACTGCGCGAGCATGCCACCGATGACAGTGCGCCACTCCACGGCGTGCCTGTGCTTCGACGTGGCCCAGAGGACGAAGAGGAGCACGACGATACCGAAGAGGGACACGGCGCGGTTCTCGCGGTTGTTGTCGTTGCTCTCGCTCGTCACGAAGGTGCCGATGAGGATGGCGCCGATGGTGACGAGGGCGCCGAGGGGCGTACGCGACTTCTCGGGGAGGCGGTCGTACACGACGAGGGCAGTCTTCGCCCAGACAAGCTTGAGGGCGCGCGACAAGTGCGAGCTGGGTACGTAGTTGAAGATGAGGCGCAGGGTGATGGCGAGCCAGAGGAGGAACGGCACGACCCAGTTCTTGTCCTTGCGGTGGAGGACGAGCGACGCGATCCACCAGCCGGTGAAGAGCATGAAGATGAAGAGGTGGAAGACCCAGCGGAAGCGCTTCCAGTACCGCTTCACCATGCTGGTGGTGCCCTGGGCCGAGGGCGCCCCGGCACCGACGACGTCGGGCGAGTCAGCCTTCTCCTCATCCGAGACCGAGCCGTACGCGGGGAGCTTCTGGGCGCTCGCGCCCTCGATTTCGTTGGAGGTCTTGCGCATGCTGGAGGGCGGCGAGACGCGCTTCTCATCGACCGGAGCCGGGCTGACTGTTACTGTCTCGGACATGGTATCGGTCAGAAGGGGGAAGGGGGAGAAAGGAAGGAAGGCTCCGAAGGGGGGGAGGGGGAGACAGGAGGGGCGCTGGCGAAAAGAAGGGTGGATATTAAGTATTAAGAGAGCGCTAAGGGGGGGTGGGACAACGGCGCGAAGAGGGGCGCAACTAGGAGGATGGGCCTTGCGACGAGGGGAGGCTAGCTACCGTGGCACACAACCTGAACCGCGACTGACGATCATCGACCAGAATGGGGGCGGGGGAGAGAGATGATAAAATACTCCAACTCTGGGCACGTCCCCATCGGCTGGTTCCGACGAAGGGAGAAAGAGAAGGGAGATAAGCAGAGTGTGATCCCGACTGGACCTGCTTTTACTCGCGACACGCTTTCCCAACGAAGCGAATTGGAAGGGGCTAATATTAATCCCAGTTCCCCCCCAGGCTAGGGGCACGAGGTAGGTACGAGGGCACGAAGTAACCTTTGCGCTAGCCAGACCCCACGAGGTAGGTGCGGCCGGTCGAGGCGAACCAGGTCCTCGGAGCGTGATTCGCCTTGGGACTGATAGCACGCAGACCTGTGCATGCGATGCGGGGTGGGACAAAGAGAGGCAAGAGCGATGAAGGGTCCAATGCCCAATGCGGGTCAGCGCAAGGGTGGAAAATTAGGACTACTTGTTCATGTCTATGCCACGGAGTAGATGGTACCTACGAGCGCTACTTGGGGGCGGCAGTGCGGAAAGAAGGGGGGGTACGCAAGGTGGGCACGCGACCCTAATACAAAGTAGGGAGCTCCGAGTACTCGCAGCTATCAGAGGGAAGGAGCATATCGGGCGGCGGATCCCGCTAACGTGCGCCTGAGCTGGGGAAGGCACGACGGCGTATCGGGTGGCGCTAGCGGCCTTCCAAAGAGGAAGGAAGTCGGGAATGACGGACTCCATTGGGCATCGGCCATCTGAATATTGGGACGTTCGCGGAGACAACGGACAAGGGGGGAAGGAAGGGGGGGAGGGCTTCGTTGGATTGGGACCGACCCCCGGTGGACAGTCGAGGTAAGAGGGCCGAGATCAGCGGTCCTAACCTCCTCATTGGGGCTTCCAAATAATGCCGGGTATACCTACAATTTACTCGGGAGGCGCGCCCGGGACTGGGTTTTTGGTACGACCCGGAGATGCCCCGCATCTGAGAGGATACAAGGGCATCGGGGAGGCCTCATTGGATCATATGCTTTCTTGGGGCTACTTGTACTTGCTTCTTTGGCATCTTACAAGTGCAAGTGCGAGAGTCCATTTACGAGGTTGGTGTACGAGTACGAACACAAGAACGGACACAAGTGTGTGAGGTCAGAGGCAAGGGCTTGCTTACACATGCCACGAGTGTCAGCGTTTGTTCCGAGGTACAACAGACTGCTGGGTGGCAACAAGCATATCTATCACACACTGGTTCGTGCTTCGCCCCATCCTTCACCGAAGCCAGGTGCAGTTAACTGGGAAGTGGGCCAGCTAACGCGGGGACCCGATCGGGTGGAGTCTCATTCGGGAAACAAGAGCGTGTGGCTGAAATTGACCTCGAATCCCATATCTCTCGTCGGGTTTCAATCTCTTCTCGTCCGATTGAAGGAGCTTCTTTCGATATTCTGGAAATTCGAATTGCTTGTCCATCCAGAATAGGGAAGAAAAAACATG